ACCCTTGGGAAAGGTATGAATACTCTTCTCCCCCCCCATCTATGGGTAAAATAGCAGGTTAGACTGGGTTCTATAGCCTTGTGTGGCAACCAGTTTAGGAGAAGGTAACTCTAAATTCAAATGGCCTCTCCAGACCATTTGAATTTAGAGTTGGGGTTTGTCAGGTTATGTTTGGTTGAGCTCTGTCAGGTTACCAAGAAACACCACTTCTGCTGTAGTACATGTGGCACTCCTACAACCCTAATGGGTCATGGGTTTCGTGGTCATGATGTACAAGAAAACTCCAATTTCAAGAAAACAAAAAAAAGGACATTTTACAGTACTTAAATATATTTTGATCTTATTAGCAAGAAAAAAAGGTTTGAGAAAACAATTTTTCAAAGGTAATTTCAGTATTTTGTTACAACAATGCATTGCTAAGACACCAATGGTTAACCCTTGTGCCTGCAATAAAATGGTACGTCAAAAGGATGGTTATTCCCTTGACACCAATATTATTGTATATACTTTTGACACCCTTGGCAATTCTCATCTACAAAATAATGAGATATTTATTATTTACCTTTTTATAAAGAAATTCACTTGAGAAAACTTTATTCAGAAATTAAAAAAAAAAAAAAAATAAATATATAAAAGACAAAATTATCAAAATCTAAACCAACTACAATAGAATAAAGATTATATGCATTCAAAATAGTATTTGTGGCCTCACCTAAAATTGAAAGTTAGTGAATTTATGCAATGAGAGCAAATAGAAAGCAATTTCTTATTCAGATATTTTTATAAATTTATGAAAAAAAAAATATTTTCAAATTGCTTTATAAAATGGTAAACAATAAATATTTCTTTATAGTTGGATCACATATTTTTAGAATCTTGTAAATAAGTAATCTAATAGTGTTTAACATCTTTGTTGACATTTCTCAAGAATAAAGAAAATGTATAAATTATTATTAATTTATTAAACTTGTAATGATTTCTTTAAAACATTGCCAAGGGGGTCAAAAATATATGGTAGTAACAGTGCCAGGGAACAAGTGTTTTTTTTTGTTTTTTTTGTAGGCAGAAAGGTTAAACATTTCTGCTAAAACATTGTCAGGAACATTTCCATACTGCTGCCACATCTGGTGCTCCTGCTATATTTTTAGGGATTCCTGATAAAATCCAAAGAATCTGCAATGTTATTGATCCTGAACTGGCATCATGGCTCCAGTCCTTTTCTCATTGCCATAACATAACTTCCCTGTGCCTTTCCCATCAATACTTTCATGGTAACTGTTCCGTTGAAGTAGCTAGATTTTATCAATTTAAGCACATTACTAAATTGGTGGCAAGGTTTAATCAATTTACACTTAAAATGGCTAAATGTAACAAGTTCTAATAGTTTCTTCTATAGCACTTCCTATTTGCAAAACTCTCTTCCCCGTCAACTTTGTATTTAAATTTTTGAAGATCAACGTCAATCATTATCTTCTGTCTTCTTAATTCTTCTTTTATTGTCCTCTCTCCTTAATAGTAGTTTCTCATATTCTCTAACACTCAGTAACTCTTTGTGTCGTAGTGACTTTATTGCCTTTGCATTTCAATTTTTGAAGATCAATGTCAATCATTATCTTCTGTCTTCTTAATTCTTGTTCTTTTATTGTCTTCTCTCCTTAATAGTAGTTTTTCTCATATTCTCTCTAACACTCAGTAACCCCTTGCATCCTAATTGGTTTGTTGTCTTCCTTGGGATGAAATGATTAAAAAGAAAAGGAATATTATTTCAACAAAAAGTCAGGCATCAAGTATCATTAACATATTTAAAAATCATTTAATTGTTAAAATTTAAATTTTTTTTTTTTTTTTAAGTATTTTTTTATGAGCTATCATGATTTAAGATGAATTCATAAAAATAAGTAAATAATTGAAAGTTATGTGTATAAAATACGATACAGAATCCAGACAAAGTTAGAAAACTTTGACAAATGGAAGATAGTTTCATTGAAACTAGATTACACATTTTACACTTAATAGGCTCCATCAGATCAACAATGAAAAGATATTGTGTGTGTATGCTTAAATAATAAATTGTTAGTACTTTTTCAGCTTAACTGACATTTTTTATGATGAAAAAAAAAAAAAAAAAAAAAAATGAAATTGTACAACTTTTTTTCCATTACAATTTTCCTGTTGAAATTTATTTATACATTCTTCCCAGTTTTTCTGCATTTCAACCCATTTTGAAAAATTGGATAAGAATATACCTTAAATTAATTTCAGAAAAGGCTATCTGAATCTTTTTGCTTTTGAGCCATTCTGAAAATACAAAGAGGATTTACGTTAATTTCAATTCAGAAAAGCAAGGAGAATGTATACATAAATTTCAACAAGAAAGTCGTAAAGGACAACTACAGAATAAATATTAATGTATTTCTTTTTTTACAAAAGTCACACAATTTCATTATTTTCTTTTATCCCAAAAAAGACCAGCTTAGCAGAAAAATTAATAATTTATTATTTAAACATACAGACATACATATTTCTTTTTCATTTTTAATTTGATGAAGCCATTAAATATGTAATCTAGCTTCAATGAAATGGTTTTCCATTTGTCATATTCCTCAAATGAATGTTACTAAGATCAAATTATTAGCACATCTGTGATCTTGTGTATGTGACGTTAAACATTAAAAAGAAAAAAACAAACTGCATAATATCATCTTCGAAGATGACTTTCTTTAAAGACATAACTAATTCTAAAAATATAGAAAGACCATTATTTGAATAATGTGTTCTATTTAGAATCAGAGAAAAAAAAAAACAAATCTTAAATAAAGTCTATACTTTAAAACAAAAAAATAGTTGATTCAATGTGTTAACAATTCTCACTTACAAATTAGGATTCGTTTTTTTGGCATTCTCTGAAGAGAAGTACTTGAGAGTCTTGGATAGTTGAAAGCCCAAACTATTTAAATTGTACTTGGTCACCTCATGGACATTTTTAAGGAATTCTTACAGGGAAAATGCCTGCTCTAGTTTTTACCCTCCAGACGTTCTAAATACCATATCTTTTATGTAGAACAAAATATTGAATTAAATTGAAAGTTTAAAGGAAAAAAAAAAATTTCTTTTTACAAACACAGAACTCAAAGAATTTTATGTTAAACACTGTTAAAAAAAAAAAAAAAAATGCTATGACAGAATTTAGTTGTTTTACAGTTTTGTAATTTTGTTTCAAACTGATACACTTCAGTGAGTGACACTATTTGACACAACATTCAAATTTTATTTGGTAACAACTCACAGTAAAGTGAAAGTTGAGCAAGTATTTGGTTAGGCATATCATGTAAAAGCCTCACTATCTAAAATACTGTTACAAATTAATGCTGTCAAAGTCCTCTAAGTCAAGTGAATATGGAAATTTCTACTTAAATCTGTTTCAATCTCCTAGCAAAAATAAAATAGTAAAAGAATTTACAGATCCTAATTTCAAGTGGACCTTCTTTTTTTTTTAAAAGAAAAGGACAAGTAATTCCAAATGCAAGATTCACTTTTGCCATTTATCAAATATTAAATTTTGCTGACCAACTAAATTAATCTTATTTTATCTTGTCTTATCCTTTGTCAAATAATGCTAACTAATGTAGATAACACTGTTTGAGTAGACACTTTTTTTTAAAAAAATAATATGAAATGTCTACTAGCTTATGCATTCAAGAAATTTAATAGAGAAAATGCACTCTCTGGTAAAGTTTGAGGATCACATTTTATTAAGTCTCTCAAAGCCAATAGACATATTTCATACCATTTAAGAAAAATCAGGGTGTCTGCCTAAATGTGCATCCACAAAATAACAATTTGTATGAAATGATGTTGGATAAAAAAATCCATTGAAATTAATGCTAATTAAAAGTCTTTCACATCCACTTTCTACAAACAATAAATGAATGAATAAAGAAGGGGGGTGGGAAGTGAAAGGATCTTTATTCTTCTTATAACAACGCAGAAAATCCTCTCATGAGCTGTTGTGAACAGAAAGAAACATCATAGATCACCACAGACAGACAGAACAAAGGACAAACACTGAGAGAGAGAGAGAGAAACAAGAAAATTACTTATAATGAAATACAACAAAAAAGTTTTATACAATAAAGCATATAAAATCAAAAATATTGGAAGAAATATATATATATATATATATATATATATATATAAAAAAAAAAAAAAAAACACATTAGAAAGTCCCAGGACTTTTGTTTTAAAAATGTTTATGCCTTTAGAGAAAAAAAAAAAAACCTCTTCCAAAGAGATTTCCATTCATATAAGAGGAAATTGGAAATAAAAGAAAAATTGCCTAAGATGGAATTGATTGGAATTAAATTGGCTCCTGAAGAAGATTTTTATAAAATTGATCTGAAACCCCAGACATTTATGAGTGATGAAGTTAAAGTAGTCGAGCCAAAAAATCTATACAAAGACGAATGAGACAAACCAGCCTCAAAGGAAATAGGTATTTATTGAGTGTCAGGTGGGTAGTCGACCCAGATACAAGGAACAAGAGATATGACGATCTTAATCCTTCTCGTGCCATGTTTGGCCAAAGAACAATTTCCACACAAATATAAAAAGCTGAAGGTGGACAATTTAAAAAAAAAAAAAAAATATTTAATGATTATTTTTTGTTTTTCTTTATATTTCAAAATGAAAAAGATCCTAGAAGAGAGAGAGAGAGAGTATTGGGTGGGGAAAGAAGATGTAACATATCCAAACGAGAGGGTGAGTTAAGAAACTACCCCTCTATTGGCCGTTCAAGCAGCTGTCCAATGATTCTCTGAAGATGGCATCACAGCTGTTGTCCATCATTTTGGTAACCACATAAAAGCAAAGATGGCAGAGATAAACAAAAAGGAAAAAAGGGAAAGTAATGGCAGCCAAGAGAAGGAGGAGGGAGAGAATAACTAGGAGGAGGAGGAGGAGGTCCTCAATATTTGGTAGTCAAGGGGGTCAGGAGTTTGTACTCAAGAAGTGGCACCAGCATCATCCTGGCCAGATTTGCGGGCTTGGCGTACTGCAAAAAAAAAGGAAAAAAAAAAAAGAAAAAGGTCATCATTCAAATAAACAATTTCCATATCATTCATGGCAAAAATTCATTTCAAGACAAATATTGGCAACATTAAGCAAGAAATACTAATTACAATAATTCCACCAATTCTACTAAATGTGAACAAAGGCTTTCACCGTTTCAAAATTATGGGTTTTATTTTCAAGGTCATTGTCAAATAATAAATGCTTTCTGATCTATTATCTCAAGATGCCCAGCCTAATCATGGAATAAAATTCCGACTTCATTGAAATTCCTTGATTTAGTCACATTGCATGACAAATATATCCCATACTTTTACTCATCCTAGGAAACAAATATACATCACATAAATAACATTTGGTATTTATTTTAATGTTCAGTCTAAAACTGTATAAAATACTTTTTCATTATTTGTTCTCATCTTAGAAAATAAATATACATCACATAAATAACATTTGGTATTTATTTTAATGTTCAGTCTAAAACTGTATAAAAAATTCATTCTTTGAAGTATTTGTCCTTAGAAAATTCATTCATTTGGATTGAAAGAAGTATCAGTTAAAACTGTATAAAATACTTTGGTCCATTCATTCAGGATTGAAAGAAGTATTTGTTCAAATTTTTCTCATCTTAGAAAACAAATATACATCACACAAGTAACATTAAGCATTTATTTTCAAACAATTTCCAATCTTAAAAAAAAACTCAAATAAACATGTCATTCAATACATGTTAAGTCGCATTAAAAAAAATAATTATTTTTCCCAGATATGAAACCAAATTTCCTCCTGAAATGAAACATTTATCATGTGCAGGTGATGTAACAATTAACAGTGGAGTTTGAATTCCAGTCAAGTTTGTTACATCTGGTTTTACACAAATATTCTTGGGAAAGGCATGAATCCATCTCTTCTCTCCCCAGCTATGGGCAGACTGAACTCTTCAGCATTGGCTGACAACTAGTCTAAGAGAATGACAATTCTAAATTCAAAACCAGTTAAGCATGGGGTTAGCCACTCCATCCCATAAAAGCTTATCTGTTATGATAGCCAAAGCATCAACACCCAGTGTGTTCAAAGTGATGACCCCATACTCCTCACTTGAGTCTACAGGAGTGGGGATGAGTGAGTGAGTCTTATAAAAAAATTTTAATTTTGTTTTTTTTCAAGTCCCTAATTTCACCATTTTCTAGATTGGCTGTGAAGTGTGTCTTATTTTGCTTTTATGTACCAAATCCTTTCAGGACGTGGGCAATCATAGCTCTCCACAGCTTCCTGTCTTTTGTCGTTCTAAGTAACTTTTGACACTTTACTATCCCACTTTGTCTTTCTGCCATCCATTCAAGTAAACTTGTTAATTAGGTTATTCCATGCTTCAATAAAAGGAGTTCAAAGAGAATTCTTCAATAAAATCAAACCATCCAAAGTTATCCATTTCCTGGAAAAAGCCAGATTCTACACGAAAATATAATCTCAAAATCTTAAACCTATTATTTTTCTTTAATGAGTGAAGCTCTGATAAAAATTGTGGGTAATCCACAACTTCCTTTCTATATTGTTGATCACAGTTGAGATGATGGGTTCCACAACACTAGACCAGACCCTCTCAGTCCTTCATTGCTGCCCACAAGTCCTGCCTACCAAAATACCTGCATACCATGTGTTTCTTAGATACCCTATATACTTGTGTATAAGCCAACTTCATATATAATGTAATCGTTCAAGTATTTTGGGAAAAAACTAATTTTATCCTATGGGTTGTGTATATTGTGACCCCAGATTCTGAACAATACTAGTAGACCTACTGTAGGCATCACCCAGACATATTTTATAGCAAATAAATGATCTTCATTCTTTTTTGTACAAATATACCCCAAAATACCAGTAAATCAGCAGATATTCTAATATTTATTTGTTTTTATCTATATTCTTTTATTCAAATAAACAGAAGAAGACACAATAAGGAACACAACTGACACACACACACATATATATATCTCAGACAAAAGGGGTGCCATTGGAAAAGCAATACTTCAGTGATGTAAACACATGCGAACAAAGATGAACGTAAATTGAAGAAAAGAAAAAACAAACATTGTTAATTCCCCATTTATATAATGTATTTGTATATTTTAAGTGGCACATGTAGTGAATGATGTTCTGCCATTCATGTAGCAATAGAAAGTATCTAGGCTAAAGAAGCCATTAAGGTTAGCCAAAGGAACCATGAGAATAGTAGGTATATCAGGTAGGTTACAGTTACTGAAAATGCATGAATTTTAACTACTCCAGAAAATAATTACCTGTGTATAGTGCTACCAAACCTCTTAAAAAAAAAATTACCTGTGTGTAGCGCAACACCTTATTTTTTTTGTATAAAGAACTGATTATAAAAACTTGCACGATACTTGAGTATATACAATGCTCAACATGTGTACCCCTAATCATAAGCTGAAATTGTTATACCATTATGCAAATCTCCTGTTGTTTCAAATTTCTTGCACTAATCATCGATGGATTCTTTAGTAGTGATTTCTAAAATTTTTTTAATTTTTATATCATTTCAACCTGGCAAGGCAATAAAGTTACTAAGATGCAAGGTGTTACTGAGAATGAGAAAACTGAGAAAATCTTATTGAGGAGAAAGGGCAATGAAAAGAACAGAATTTATGGAGAGAGAAAACGACAACTGATGTTGCATTTAAAGTTTAGAAGGTCAAAATTGAATGGAAAGCAAGAAGAGAATTCTGCAGGTGAAAACTACAAGAGAAAAAAACTAATCTAGAAACTAGGTACCATTGAGGAAAGTTAATCAGAACAATTGCCATGGAAATATTTATAGGAAAGAAATGTTCTTATAGCCTGGTGCAAATTAATTGAAACAATCACTTTAGTTTCCTTTCTTTCACTATACAGTCAGTTTTAGACCCACTAGAGTGACAGGGTGTAATCAATTTCTATTTTTTTCCTCAGATCAGGTCATTTGCAGGGGTGTGCAGTAATATCAATCTATTTTCGAGGTGTATGATGAAATTTGTTTGGCCTAGGAAAATATTGTGTCATCCATGATTGCCAGGCACTATTGTCTCGACTGTTGATTAGTTGTCCTATGGCTATTGTCTGCAATGGACGTTACTTCAAGGAAGCGTACAGAAATTTTAACACTTTACAAACACACTGGCAAGCCTTACCAGTGAACAAATCAAAGTACTATAGACTGACCCAGGAACTCCTGATTTAAATTCAATCAAGAATCTGTGGTCAATCTGCAAGGAATGATTTCAAGGAATGGACATACGAAGTACTAATATGTGCACCGAGTTATATTTCATTGGAAAAATATGAAAAAAAGTAATTAATAATGGAATTATTCGTTTTGTTTCAATTAATTTGCACAGGGGTGTAAATGTCAGTGCACACCTGTAACAGAATTGTCTTTGCTTAATTCAATCTCAAAATGCCTTCTCAGCAGCATCTGCAGACATCTTACTATCTGCCAAATGCTGTCTGATAATGGAAAACCATGTAATGCAAAAGACCTTATTTCTTTTCTGTCAGATGTACAACATATTATGTTTTAGTGTCAGGAAATTTTAAAACTTTCCCTTTTGAGATCACTCAATATATCAGTATATTTTGAAAAGGATATTGAAACCTTCCTCTAGTCTCGGCCACATGGAAACCCTCGCCCAGGAGAGGAACTGAAAGATAATCTACAACAATGACAATTTTGAAGAGTGGATTGGGCCAAGAACTTTTCATCACCCCCTCATCCGACATATGGCTTAGTGTGTAAGTCAGCTGGTAGTGGTTTGACCAGATGTTCCAAAATGCACAAAAATGTATTCAAGCTACAAATGGTCATGCAAGCTTGAGGCTATGTACACATCGTATATGAGGTGATCAATGAAGATTGATTTGTTGATTTGTCTATTTAATGGCATATCGACTCCTTATGGGTCATTTAATGCTGAAATTTAATTTTCTTGAGAGCTTCGAAGTAATAAGAATATTAAAGACATTTTTATGTTTAACATTCTTTTTATAGATACAAGTATTTAAGTAAAAAGAATGTTAAACATAAAGATATTTCTAATAAATTGTTGGACTTTGTCCATTTCTTAATAAGAATATGTTATTCTTCTTTCACAACTGAATACATGGCAGATGATACTCAGCTTTTGTGCATATACATGTCTATGTGAACCTGATTACTAGGGGCGGTGGTTGTAGGTTTTGTTCTTTCATGTTTGTTGTTTGGTAGTATTTTAAATGGATTTGGGTGAAGTCACTACAATTTGTTAGTATGTGAATATTATAAGTAATTTGTTTTGTTTTGGTATTGTGGATCAAGATGGGGGTCTACTATTTGCTCATAGATGGGACTCTAACAGGTGCTACCACCCCAAGTCAGGGTGAATCAAGGAACAACAGCAATTAAGCATGATCAATGAAGAAATGGTGTTCTTCTGACAAGAAGGTGCAATCATTATGTGTATGTATATATATATATATATATATATATATATATATATATATATATATATAAAAAAATAATCACACATAGAATCAATCAGAAGTATTAATGCGATTATTGGCGACATCCATACTTCTGATTGATTCTATGTGTGATTATTTTTTGTATGTAAATTATATGCTGCCTAATGTTTTATGTTTATATATATATATATATATATATATATATATATATATATATATATATATATATATATATATATATATATATATATATGATCAAAATATACAATTTTAAGGTATGCTATTTTTTATAGGTAAAAGTGCTCAATATCAGAGATAGAGCATATGTAAATATAAAAGTATACACTAATGTCAACACTAAATGGTGCATCTGTTTCATGCTTGAATGCAATCTTCAGGCCATGAAGTTAACCTGAAGATTGCATTCAGGCATGAAACAAACTGCTGCTTCTTGGTGTTGACATCAGTGTCCAATTTTGTGTGCACACTTACATACACACAAATATATCATATTTGTAGTATAAATTTTTTTTTAAATCAGGGGAAATAACTCATGTCAACAATATTCTCTCCAAATGTGAGACAGATTAATTTCTTAAAGTACACTTTTTACCTTTCAAAAAATATTCAGCTGTAAATCTTTTAAAAGGATGAAAGGTCAAATTTACTTTAATGAATGAAATTTAAACAAGTAATCAAACTATCTTCCTAGACAAAGTGACAACGGAATTTTATAACATTCCCACTGCCATAAAGTAGCTGTTCTTTTATTAGTCTCTCTCCTTAATAAGGTTTACATTTTCTCATATTCTTACACATTCAGTAACAACTTGCATTTTAGTGGCTTTATTGCCTTGCTTCGTGTGAAATGATTTAAAAAAACAAAAAAAAAACTGACCACTTCTCTGCAGATTCATGATAGTGATTCACGTCCCCTGGAAGCATGGAACATATGCATAGCAGCAAATTTGCCTTTGCGATATAGATCTCTCTCTCTCTCTCTCTCTCACATTTATATATATATATATATATAAAACTTCAAGGTTTAAATAAACTCAGTTTCCCAAAAGTCAGCAGAAAATATCAAAAATACTTACTCTGATCATTGTTCTTTTGAATTTTCTCCTGGACTCTGACACGGGCATCAGGATACTCAAACCAAATCCCAAATCGAAGCATTGTATCGTTTTCTTCAATGAGTTTAGTGATCGCCATTTCCACTTGGTTTCCAAGAACCGAAGGTTTCTGCAAAAGTAAAACAAAATGTCAAAGAATCCTAAAACAGAAAATTATGATTCAATCAAGAGAAACATTTTTGGCATTCCAAATTCCAGTAGCAGACATTACAAGAACTGTTTATTTATGCTGATGACACTTACCGTTTATTCCAGCCTTAGTAGCAAATCCAGCAGATCTGACAAAATAAACCTGGTAACTACTCTTGAAAAGGACCTCCAGTCAGTGGTTAACTGGGGCAAGAAATGGTTTGTAAATTTCAATGCCTTCAAAACAAAACCATGTTCATTTGCTCACCACAGAGGACCTTTTCTGCTTACTATCAGTATAGCTGATGCTAAACTCCAGAACAGTGACACTCTACGCCATCTTGGCCTCATGTTTTCCACTCGCATGAAGTAGAGCAACTATATAAAATCAATTGGTCCATATGCAACTGTTGGGGCGCACCCACCTTCTAACTAGTAATGGTCTGGTTCCTCTTATATAAGTCAGCTCTGGAGAGAGAGTGACAGAGCGTCAGAGAGAGCGTCAGCGTTAGCAGTCCAGATAAGCTTACCTGGTACATACCGTTGGACTATAGACTTTGGATATTGTTTCGTACTAACCAACCTTCGTTCTACTAATCACTCTATTGTTAATTGCTTTTATGAATATACCAGTATTTTCCTCTACAACTGTGTTTGTCTTGATTCATACACCGACACGCGGGAAACTCACAACATCTCAACAGCAACAAAGAAAGTTTGTTCATTGTGTAAGGCCCCCAAACTTTTCTTGTCAGAATCCATCTTGCACATTTATAAATCTACCATTCATCTGTGCATTGAATATTGTTGCCATATGTGGCCTTGTGCTCCTACTGGGCATCTCAAGATTCTTGACAAAAGTGTTTACAATACAATCAATCCTGACCAGGTATTTCATCTCCAGTCACTTTCACATTGATGTGACATGGTCTCCCTCTGTTTTTTCTACAAATATTTTCATGGTAACTCCTCGGATGAGGTTATTTTTTTTTCTGGTGCCTCAACTACATGAATTTAAGTGGGATACTAGATTGGTGATTAGGTCTCATGATTTTAATGTTGAACTAGCTAGATGCAACCATCATTTCTAACAGTTTTTTTCTCACACTTCACACCTGTGGTAATCCCTTCAGATTGTTTGCTTCTCTGATAGCTACAATCTTCAAATATTTAAATGCAACATCAATCACCATCTTCTGCCTTCTTGAAGCCTGCCCCCCACCTTACGGTCTTCTCATTCTCACTTCCACCTCCTGTAACCCCCTCCATTCTAGAGATATTATCATCTTGCCTGGGTGAAATGTTTCAAAAAAAAAAAAAAAAATAATAATAATCCCGTTTAGGATCAAGGTCACTTAACTGCTATGGGGTTATATATTTACTTTTTAATCTAGTACAAGGCTACAATATTAGAGCATGAAGAGAGGAGGAAAATCCCTAGCAAGAACTTTCAAGACTAACTTGTAAACCATCAATCTATATACTAGACTGGCATAAGGCCAGTTTAATAAAGAACTCAACATTACATTGGAAATGCCAAGTAAGAAGTAAGAAATATCAGCTGCAAATTTCTGTTTTCCACAAATAAAGATGTGGATTTTTTCAAAAATGGATTGTGCTAAAATATCGTTTCCATTATGAAACTATTGAGAAACCAACACAGTCGTTTTATTATTAGACCCGCATTTTGGGAGGAAATTGACAAATGGGGCTTTGATACATTGCTTTAAAAGAATTCAGCTTGACAAAGAAAATTTAAAAAAATTTATGCACAAAAAAAATAAAAATCAAAAAGAAAATGTTTGAAACTCTCAAAATCATTGCAACTTCATTCTACTCTTTGCAAAGGCTGTCTCACTTCTTTTCATTATGAAATGGGTGACAAATGGGTGACAAATGGGGCTTTGATACATTGCTTTAAAAGAACTTTGTCATTCAGCTTGACTGAAGAAAAAATTTAAAAAAAAAGATTTTATGCACAAAAATAATGTCAAATCAAAGAGAAAAATAATAAAGTTGTTTTTGTTTACTATTTATACTATTTACATTGTTCCGACTGTTGTCCTCATCTTTATTGCCATATTCACCTTCAACATCTCTCTCTATTTCTGAGATGAGGTATTTTACATTGTTTGGATTTCCTCATCACTATTTTCAACACATTATTTTTGGACTGTTGCAACCTCATTTCATTGTTTATTGCCATATTCACCTTCAACATCTCTCTCTATTTCTCAGATGAGGTATTGTAACTATTTACACTATTTACATTGTTTGGACTGTTGTCCTTTTTATTGCCATATTCACCTTCAACATCTCTCTCTATTTCTCAGATGAGTTATTGACATTGGTTTGACTGTTGTCCTCATCTTTATTGCCAGATTCCTTGTTCCGTCTCTATTTCTCCAGATGAGGTATTGTAACTATTTACACTATTTACATTGTTTATTTCATCTTTACATTCTTCAACATCTCTCTATTTTCAGATTTGGACTATTTACATTATTCCGGACTGTTGTCATCTTTTATTGCCATATTCACCTTCAACATCTCTCTCTATTTCTCAGATGAGGTATTGTAACTATTTACACTATTTACATTGTTCGGACTGTTGTCCTCATCTTTATTGTCATATTCACCTTCAACATCTCTCTATTTTTCAGATGAGGTATTGTAACTATTTACACTATTTACATTGTTTGGACTGTTGTCCTCATCTTTTATTGCCATATTCACCTTCAACATCCTCATTTCTCAGATTTATTTAACCATATTTACATTGTTTGGACTCTCATCTTCAACATCAGATGATATGCAACTATTTACACTATTTATTTCTCAGATGAGTTATTGTAACTATTTACACTATTTACATTGTTTCTGTTGATCTTTATTGCCTATTCCTTATCTTTATTGCCATATTATTGTAAACTATTTACACATTTACATTTCTGTTGTCCTCATCATTCAAGCCAGATTCACCTTCAACATCCGTCTCTATTTCTCAGATGAGGACACTAACCCATTGTTTACTGTTGTCCTCATAGAATCTCTATTGGTTAAATTTAATCCAGTCCTCATCTTGATTTGACCCAACAAAGAATTTTGAGTTCAATACCTGGTCCTATCAGTACAGGTGAACAAAAACTGTTGATCTTTTTATATATTCACCTTAAGAAAGTAACTATTTAGCACATTGGAACTAGAACATAACCTTCAACCTCTCTCATTTCTGGAGTTATTGCAAATTTACACTATTTACATTGTTTGGACTGTTGTCCTCATCTTTATTGCCATATTCACCTTCAACATCTCTCTATTTCTCCAGATGAATTTGGACTGTTGTCCTCATCACCTGCCAGATTCACCTTCAACATCTCTCTCTAGGCCAGATGAGTTATTGCAACTATTTACACTATTTACATTGTTTGGACTGTTGTCCTCATCTTTATTGCCATAACCTTCAAGAATTTCAGATGATAACTATTTAACTATTTACATTGTTGGATGGGGACCTTCAACATCTCTCTCTATTTCTCAGATGAGTTAAACAATGTCTGTTGTCCTCATCTTTTATTTAAAACCTTCAACATCTCTCATATTTCTCAGAAATTATTGTAACTATTTTACACTATTTACATTGTTTGGACTGTTGTCCTCATCTTTATTGCCAGATTCACCTTCAACATCTCTCTATTTCTCAGATGAGTTAAACTAAACTATTTACATTGTTTGGACTGTTGTCCTCATCTTTATAGCCAATTCATTTCAACATCTCTCTATTTTCAGATGTATTTAAACTATTTAAAATTTGGACTGTTGTCCTTTTTTTATTGCCATATTCACCTTCAAAATTTCTCAGATGAGGTATTGTAACTATTTACACTATTTACATTTTCCCATTAGCATATTCATCAACAATTTAGGGATTTGTTTTTTTTTTGTTCGGACTGTTGTCCTCATCTTTATTGCCATATTCACCTTCAACAAAATTTCTCAATGATTATTGTAAAAATATTTACAAACAAATATTCACCTTCAACATCTCTCTATTTCTCAGAAGTATTTTGTCCTCATCTTTATTGCCATATTCACCTTCAACATCTCTCTCTATTTCTCAGATGAGTTATTGCAACTATTTACACTATTTTTATAAACTGTTGTTCTTTATCTTTATTGCCATAAAACATCTCTCTCTAAGATGATATTGTAACTATTTACATAGTCCCTATCTTTTGTGCCATAAATTATTTCAAAAATCATTAGGAATGACAATCTCAACATCTCTTATTTTGTAAGAGTAACTAAATTGTTGGGACTGTAGTTTTAAACAACATTTCGAAAATATGGCCAAAGGACACATCTTAGAAGCATTGGTTAAATTTGATTTGAAAAAGAATTTTGAGTTCAATATAACATGAACAAAAATTGAGTTACTAAGAAAAGGCATGCACATGGAACTAGAACAAAATGGACTAAAAAAGTGTTTGGTCTGAAATTTAACATATTGAAGAAAATCTAAATTTTAAAGATGAGGAAACAGTCCAAACAAGTTTTAAAAGATGTTTTTGTTTATGTTTTTAACCTAAATAAACAAAAACAACTTCTTAAAAATCATGTATTTGTTAAAATTTAAAATATTCATGTTTTTTGCATAAAGTATTTTCCCATTAGCTATCATAATTTAGGATAAATTTGCACAAAGAAAACCAAAGATTATTAAAATCAAACTTTTTCAATATGAAATCTTGCAAAATTTCTTTCAAAAAATATAACATGACAATTATTTGTATAAAAGATGTTTTATTTAAAAATCATTTTAGAGAGAAAACAGAAGTTTTAAATAGAGTTTAGTATTTTCTTTAGTCATCACCCCTTCCTTCCTTCCCCAAGGCACCACCTACACAAGGATAAAGTTCTTTTTTGAGTCAATATTTATTACAAGTTACATCTGAAAGGTTTTTAATAATACAATACCCTGAATAGCTTAGGAATTGACTCATCGATAACTACAGGGGTCACATGGGTCAATTTCCTTTCAAAACAAGATTTTTATAAGATGAAGAAAACAAGAAAAACAGGTTTATTTTCTTGTCGCATTTAAATAAGGTGCATATATATGAGGTGCATTTAGACAGCAAGGATATTATCAAAACAATTTGTTAAATTCACTTGACAAGGTTTGTCTATTTCAGTTTTTATTTCATTTTTCAAATAAAGATGTTGTACATAGAGATCAAAATTATGAATAAACTGTCCATGTTCATGCCTTTTTTTTCGTTTTGTTCAAGCAATTTTGACTGTCTCAGTCATTATCAAGAACTGGGTGCTGTCAGTATGGTAGACAAGATTTTATTGACTACATCCTGGCATTTATTTGATCACTGGAATTAGAATCTGTTCATTCTCCACAGGGTTAGGGTTAGGGTTAGTTATGTGATAAGTAATGGTTAAGTAGTAAAACATGTATCAAATATCTATACATGTTGTTGTTTTTGTAAACATATTAAATATTTTATACATATTTTAATATACCATCTCCTGTGGAGAAAGATATTTTATTTAATGTGGGTTGTTTATTTTGTATTATAATGGTTCTCAGAATTTCAAGTCTTTCTTTGCAGCGAGTCCTGTATAAAAATTTATCTTATGTTGACATTTGTATTATGGTTGTGATGTGATGATCAGCAAGTGACAAGTCAGTCTACAAGAGAGTGTGGTGTATGTGTGTCCAATGTAAAAAGTTGTTGCATTTAGTAGGAGAGAAGAAAAAATAAGAGAGAGAAATTTAAGATAGTTTTCATGGGTTTCTTCACCCTACAGACCCTAACTGTTAAAAAGAGTTCAGACAACTTACCTGATTGTCAACTCGAAATTCTTTGACAGCCTTGTGACTGTTGATGCCTCTAAGGATTTCCACAATTGATTCCCCACCAATGAAATTCGACTCAATATTTAAAATTTCCAAAGTCTTGTTATCTTTTATTGCTTCAGCTAAAGCCTACAAAACAAATCATTAGATAACAACAAGTGTTAAGTTTTATTCAACTCTTTGGAAATAGTTGATTGAAACAAAAAGGAAAACAAAAAACAATCTAACGCCAGGAATCCAGAAAATAAAAAGGATTTGTCTAAATTGAGATAATTCCAATCTTTCAGAAATCATTGTGATATTAAAATCAGTGCCAATGTAATTTCATTTTTTTTTAATCAGGTTATGATCAAATTATTCAGTAAATAATGAATAACATGAACAAGAACGGAATAAAACAAGTGACAGTACCTACCATCAGTCAATCATAAAAATTCATAATTGAAATTAGTAAATACCAAACAATTCAAATATCTCGGTGCATGGATCAGTTATAACAAATTAAATATAGGAAATAAGGAAATTGAATATAGAATAGTCTGTGCAAGTGGTAGTTTACCTAAGGCAACAAACTGCTACAAAATTAAAACATCTTTCAAGCATTGGGAGGATTTGTTCGTAACCTTTCGTTGGAAGTATTATTGAAATTCAACCTCTTCATTATATCATTATTCTTTCTAACAAGTTAAATGTGGAATTTAATTTCTTAACAAATCAAGGATTCCATGATAAGGCTAACTTGGCATAAAGAACCAGATGGCAAACTTTAACAGTGATTAATGAGACGGTAAGAGTGCTGGATAAGTGACTTTTGGGTGACCCAGGAAAAAGAGAACATGTGATAAAAAATTTAATTAGCAAGGAGAATTTTGTAAACAAAAATTCTAGATTATAATTTTAAGGAGGCTAGCTTAGCCACACCTGCACTGCCAAGAGATCATTGGTTGTATGGTAGCATGGTGATTGGCAGAAGTGAATGGACGAGAAAGACAGAGAAGATGCTAACACCCACTGAAGAGATTGATATGAGATATCAATGTGAGAGAGAAAGAGTCTAGGAGGATAGCTCTCCTCCGACCTTCCCTCATGAACGATGGAGACCCCCAAAATGGGAAATGGTTAATTTTCCAAAAATGGGAAATAATCAATTTCCTGTCCTGACAACGAGATTTCTTGTTAGAAATAGAGAACCCCAGGCCGCGTCAGACCCACACACCGGGTTTTGGTCGGTACCCATATAAACGAATGATGATGGGTTGTTCGGTAGAAGTTAAGAAAAAAGAGCAGTAGAGTAAAGTTGCAGTTCAGCTCCAGACAGAGTCAGAGACAGTTCGAGTAGTGGGAACCAGAGTGTTGCCTCGCAGAAGCTGACCGAGAGATTCCACGACCTCAGATTTCGCCTAACCTACCCATAGCAAGTTATATACTGACGAACAAAGTTAAGCCAGCACTTAAAAACTGAACCTGTTGACTTAGAGGACCAACTTGCTTGAAACATAGAAGTGTCACATTTCGTAAGAAATGGGCTGGGAGAAAAACACGCTCCTGTATATAACAGAAGGATAAAGTTGAATTGTTATCTCCTAACATACTTGAAATTCTTGGGTTTTTCTTTTATTTATTTTTTTTCTTTGTGCTTGTGCAGTGCCATCTTCAATCTGGACTCAGCTTGCTCTATGGCCAGACGCCTGATTGATCACAACGTGGGTAGGTTAGACTTGAGATCGAAGCAGTTACTCCAGTAACCAGACGTTGCAAGTAAGCTGGGAACGATGGAGTTGGCATTAAACTGGTACAGCTGAGTGTCATATATTGGTATCCTGACCAGGGGATTTCACAGAGTAGCGACGACCACCGAACGACCGGGACACAGGCTGGTGGCAGCGACAAAGAGTCAACCCCAAAATGCCGGTAGAAGAAACATTACAGCTTCACACCGTGACTGGGAGTTGACCACAGGCCAACAGCTTAGTGTCACACAAATGTTTCCTTTTAAGGCAGTGATTATCAACTGCTGTGCCATGGGACACTAGTATGCCATGAAATATAGTCACAGCATATATAAGTTGCACAAATAGTTAAATAGAAACATTGAAATAAAGTAAGTTCATATTTGTGTGTATTTTTTAAAAATCTATAATTTTATTTCATAACATTTAAATATATACCTTTTAAAAATGTTACTAAGTGTGTTGTGATATTTTCATTTGCTCCTGGGTGTGCCGTTGCTTAAAAAGTTGAGAAACACTGTTTTAAATGAAACAGCTAATATTAACATTACCATTAGAGATTAGGAGAAAAGATACTACACTTTGATCCCAGCCCTATGGCCAGAAAGTGAAGAAAAGGCATAAATCAAGTAGCAATGAGTGCTGAATGTTTCCTTATAAGGAAACGGCTATTAACATTACTATTATCATTTATTAGCTCCCATCAGACAATTTAGAGGAGTGAATCTGATTAATGATCACAATTCAAGTAAAGAAAAGTCTCAAAAGAAAGAACAAAAAGTAAAATAAAGAAAAGAAAAAGGTTAGATTACTTACTCGAGCAACAAAATCTGTTGCATCTACGCTGGCCATTTCCAGAATCTCTAAGTGTGTATTTGTTTTCAGTGTTTCCACAATTTGGATTAATTTCTCTTTTGGAATGCCCTAAAAATATAGAATCAGGATTAAATAAATACAGAGGGCTTCAATTCCAGTTGCAAACATTCTAAAATGAAAGAAAAAAAAAAAAAGCAAGATCATTATAACAAACACATTGAATGGGATTAAATTTTCTGAAGGATGAACAAAAATGGAAAGTTTATTTTTTTGTTCTACTAAGCATGTGGGCTATCATGGCTCTCCACAGCCTCCTATCCCATGTGGCTCTTAGCAATGTTCCTCTCTTGGCTAAGCTTCCCCACCAATTCCCCCATCCATTCACACACACACACACACACGCACACACACACAGATAGGTGGCTGACTGCCTTCCTCTATTTCTCTTGCTCACGATATGCTCTGTGAGGGTCAAGTTTTCTAGGCCATCCTTCCTCATTATATGTTCAAGAAATTTCACTGCCGCTTTCTGATCTGTTTTGATAATATTTACTTTAAGACTTCCTTGTTGCTTACTTGCTCCATCCATGGAATTCTCAGTATCCCTCTGTAGAACCACATTTCTGTTGCATCCAGTTTCCTTTTCATCTGTGGGGAGATTGTCCAGCATCCACTGCCATACAAGAGGATTAACATTTAGCACTCTGCATCATTTATAAAATTTACATCCCCTTTTACTGTATATGGAATCCCCTCAAAATATAGCATTTTATATATTAGTTCTACATATTTGAAATTGCTATAACCTAGCTCTCAATTTCAGTCCAGATTGTTTTAGGTGTTGCCATAGAAGGATATGACTACACAACCAAGGTTAATATCACATAGCAATTCAGAACTGTTTTCTTTGTTTCTAACAAAATTTTTCTGTTTCTTAGTACTTTATCTACTCTCTGAAATGCATCTTTCGCTGTTCCAATATGCATTCTGATTTCAGTGTCTCATTTTCCGTCCTCTGTAAAAATACTTCCAAGATATTTAAACTTCGGTAATTGTTTCATGTTTAAAGTAGAAAGAAAAAGCTGATTGTCCCCAACTTATACATACACAGAGTTATCTTAGAGGAAAAATATATAAAGTTTTCAATGACCTAAGAGGAATATCAAGTTTCTTTTAAATTATTTTCTATATTTATAAATATTAATGCTATCAAAGATATTGTCTTTATTGAATAAAAAACTAATAGTTCCTGAAAGAGACACTGAATATGAAAAGATGAAATGCTAAAGAATTTCATTTGTGATAAGAACCTGCTTCACCTCCAGCCACACGAGGACCCTATCATCTGGGGCTTCAGAATACACCAACTGCACCTCTGAAGAGGAATAAGAAATGAGGGATCCTTGGTACAACAATGAACTACATTCGGTAGCAAGGCCTCTGATCAAGAGGTTTTGAAAAGCAAGGAACCACTTCTTAACTGCTGGTGTTTCTGTTACAATTTTTGGATACATTATGTACTAGTGAGTTAGCCTAAATGATTTGACTCACTTTATAGTACACCAATAGAAGGTTAACCAATCAGAAGACGTAGAATATTCAATCTGTTGTGTATAAAGGCAGCCATTTTGTTTACTCTGTCCGAATGTCCAGTGCCAGCTTGTCAGGCGAAGAGGAACAGAAGGAAGAACTATGCTCTGCTACTTTACCGGGATATCCACTGCTAACCTGAACAACGCTTCCCTACTGTCTTCGAAATATTCACTGCTAACCTCTGGATTCTATACTCAAAGACAACCGTCATCATGAACAATAGTTTCCACATACAGCCTAACCTGGTGTGGTAGCACTTGTTAGGGTCCCCGCTATGAGCAAATAGTTAATGCCCAAAATTGGTACCAAAGCACTATGAAAATGTAAAAATAGGTTTTAATACTAGTAATACATTTTTAGAAAAAAAAAAAAATTACCAGTATTGTCGGTATTAAATAATCCATTGCGGTTGAAATGCCATAAAAACAAAACAAACCAAAACCAGCCTCACGATAATTTTTTATCAACATTGAATGATTATTCAAAGTAGAGTTTTCAAGAAAACTTCCATAAATGGGTGCTACACCAATCGAGACTAAAGTTGGTTGCTTGTTTTGTTTAGCAGCATATCAACATCTCTATGGGTTAATTAATGCTGAAATCTAAATATTTTGTACACAATTTTATTTTATTTTTAGAGATAATAATGGTTTAGTGATAAAAGCCTTACTAATTAACCCATAGATAAAAGTAGAAAAGGTGGATTCATACCTAATCAGAATTTGATAAACAAACAAGAAATTTTAATGTGGATATAAAGCGGGGGATCAATTCTATATAACAATTAATATATAAATTGATCCCTCACTTTGTGACCATGGTAGTTTCTATGCATTTATATTCCAGCGGATGTAAATAAATTTAAAAGACATGCCTGTGTAGCTAATCAGTATTTCATTGAATAATTCGCTTTTCTACAACTTATCACCCCTTTGTAGGTTATTTGAAGCCAGAAATTATAATGTGAATATAAAGTGGGGGATCTATTCTTGATTACAATAAATATATAAACTGATCCTAACTTTGTGGCCACAGTAGATTCCATACATTTCTATTCCAGAGAATGTAAATAAATCTAAAAGACATGCCTGGGTAGCTAATCAGTATTTCATTGATTGATTGATTTGTTTTCTATGGCTTATCAGCAATCAAGAAATTATAAGTGGATGTAAAATGGGGGATCAATTCTATGTTAAAATCGATATATAAACTGATCCCTGCCTTTGTGACCATGGTAGATTCTATACGTTTCTATTCCAGAGAATGTAAATAAATCTAAAAGACATGCCTGTGAATCTAATCAGGATTTCATTGATTGATTGATTTGTTTTCTATGGCTTATCAACAAACCAGAAATTATAATGTGGATATAAAATGGGGGATCAATTCTGTATTAGAATCAATATATAAACTGATCCCTGCCTTTGTGACCACAGTAGATTCTATACGTTTCTATTCCAGAGAATGTAAATAAATCTAAAAGACATGGCTGTGTAGCTAATCAGTATTTCACTGATTGATTGATTCGTTTTCTATGGTTTATCAACAAACCAGAAATTATAATGTGGATATAAAGTGGGGGATCAATTCTATATTACAATCAATACATAAACTGATCCATTAATTTGTGGCCACTGTAGATTCTATACATTTCTATTCCAGAGAATGTAAATAAATCTAAAAGACATGTCTGTGTAGCTAATCAGTATTTCATTGATTGATTCATTTGTTTCCTATGGCTCATCAACCCTTTGAAGGTTATTTAAAACCAGAAAATATCTTTAGATCATAAGAATTTTTTTTTTCTGAAATAATAATGATTTAGTGAGAAAAGTCTTATTAATTACACCATAACTAGAGGTGGGGAATAGGTAGATTCATAACTTTCCCCAGGGTATTTGCATATAAGCAAATATAATGATCACAACTGGAATTGGAACACGGCTCTCCAATTAACAATTCCGAGCCATCATCCACTACACCAGTCACACATCAAAGCTTCCCAAACGGTCACCCATCTAGGTACTGACCAGGTTCAATGTTGCTTAACTTTGGTGATCATATGTGAACCAGTGTTTCAGGTATGGATATATCCTCAAGATCTCTGTTGCTGTCAACATAGACACAAACCAATTTCCAATTGAGACTGACCTCCCCTACTAAACATCTGTACACAAGCACTTGACAAAAAGTACTCACATATTTACACTATTTACATTGTTTGGACTTTTGTCAAATTCACGTTTCAGCCACTGTATGCCCTGGCTTTCTTCAGGTGATATTTGTTGGAATTCCGAACCCTTTATTTAATCCACACAGATTTAGGTAGATGCCTTTGGATTATCTCAGTTTCAGTTAATTCCCCTTGATAAGTTTTTGATCTCTTCACTGGAGCCAGACACTGAAATCACAACTCTATGGGATCAATCAACCAATATCCACTGGGCCATATGTCCTTGGGGACACTAGTGAGTGAATCTTTTGGACTTATAAACCTAATGTCTCAGTTATCTTTTTGCTCATATTAGAAATATTTTTCACCTTACTTTTTATTGTTGTTTTTCTCTAGCTTTCTGTAACAAAAAAAATACCAAACAATAAACAAATGAAGTGTATAAAAAAAAAATAAAAAAAATCTGAAACTAAGATATCCAAAGACACTGTACGTGGAATTATAACAATCTACCTTTGTGGACTAATAAACAAGTTTAGTTTGAAATTCCAATAAATATCGCCTGAAGAAGACTAGAGCATAAACAGGCAGTTAGTTATATTCACTGATGCACAAATACCCTTGGGAAAGGTATGAATCCATTTTTTCTCTCCCCAGCTATGGGTTAATTAGTAAGACATATCACTAAAGTGATTATTATAAAATTGCATATAAAAAAGTATTTAGGTTTTAGCATTAAATAACTCAGAGGTTGATATGCTGATAAACAAAAACAACCAAGCAAAAATGAGGACAACAGTCTGAATAGTGTAAATAGTTACATCTCATCTCAGAAATATAGACAGATACCCAATATTTTGTGTTCCACTTGATAAGGAAACTTATGGCTCCAATGCTGAACACAGACTGTAGAGACACATTTCAAAATCTATTTACTGTTTTGAATTGAATAAAAATTTGAATTATATTAAGCGAGGTTATTGACAAAGCATTGATTGCAAGTTATGAGCAAATGCATTTAATAAAGTCTTTCTACAAAGAAAGTCACGGCTTTGAAAAGTGAAATAAAGAATTAATTTGAAAATATCAATCACTTACCTTTATGTTATTTAGATTAAGATGTTTTAGCTTCGGGTCATTCTCTTGTAACTTTTTTAAGCTTGCTTCATAATCGGTCGTATTAGGTGCTTGTTCTTCAAAAATCTTCAAGTCTTCATGTCTTGCCACCCCTAAAGACATAAAAATCAGAAATTAGGAGAGACAACAGAAATATCTGGAAAAACCTGACAAGGTAAAAAATAAATCTGGAAAAATTAAAAGTCGTTTATTCTCTTCAAAAGTTTGGCACAAAAATTATTCACCATTTTTACTTGAAGATGCTATCTAATGGAAAAACAATTGGTTTAATAAAAACTAATGATTAAAAAAAATAAGAGTTTTTTTTGTTTTTTTTAATAGATGTTTTCGAAATTTAAAAAAAAATATTTGCAGACACAGAACTCAAAACAATGTCGGATTAACCAAGCAGCAACAAAAGTACCAAATGCTACAGATGCCAGCATTTTTAAAGGTACTGCATTAAATACGTTCACGCTACCTGGTGAATGATAATGTTTACATGTCAAGAGAGCCACATATTTAATTATTTATCATTTCAAGTCTAATTATATCAAGGCCATTCAGCCTACCCAAATATCTCAGTATTACCATTTGCCACATATTTTTCTGTATTTGTTTATTATATTGACAGAAGTTAAATGTTTATCTGTTTTATAAGCTTATATTATTAAATAATTTATGATTTTATATTTATGTGTACTTTTTAATTTAGATCCCCTTTATAAAAGATGGTACAGGCTCTGCACTGGCTTACTCCGTCCCTAACTCCAAATGTTTTTAGGCGACCTCCTAAACAACATTTACAAAGATTTCACAGTTATTTCCCTTGAATCAGTTGGCTGGAAATCTAAATGGCAGTCGTTTTGGAAGTCAATTATTTTATTGTTCCAATTCTAGTTTTAAACTTGAAATCATTACCTCATAAAAGATCATGCACGAGATGAATGATTCCTGTGCTCTCTTCTTTTACTTAATCTCTTTAATAATAACAAAGCACCTCATCTAGCAGGAATCATCGTTTGAGTTGAAACTTCAAAACAGTCATTCATCCAATCATCTTCTTTGATTGTTGGTGTCAATAACATTCTGGATAATCCTTATTCCATGGGATTATCCAGCAGGTTTTCATTTTACAGAAATAGCATCTGCACTCAATGTCTGATCAACTTTGTACAAAGTTTGGGTGTTATTTTTTATTTATATTTTTTAAAAATTCAGATGTCTTTCTCCTAGACTGATTGCCAACCATGGCTGGCAGTCTGTTCTGCTATTTAACACATGGTGGGGAAAGAAATAGATTCATGCCTTTCCCAAGGGTATTTGTACAAAAGTGAGTGTAACTAACTCAACCAGAATTCAAACTCAGCTAGCTTATGAGTTTCAAACTGCTAACCATTTTATTATCTGCATTATGTTGAAAACGCAACATTAATTTTATTATCTGTCACGGATGGTTTCTTAATGAAAGAACTTTGCAATTTCCTAATGAAAAAGAAAAAAAAAGATTTCAGGAATTCTTGGTTGGCAGGAGGAAATTATTTGAATGCTCTGCTGATTGTGAAATTATCTCAGTTTGATTTACTGATTAACACAAACAGCTGTTGACTGGAGAAACTGAAGATGGCTTAGCAAAGTAAAATACCACTAAATTCAAGTCATTTCACTATTATAAGCATGTTTCATAAATCTGTATGAAGTCCTTTTTTTTTAATTTGTTATTACTTTATTTTATGACGAATTACAAATGATAAAAATCCATCGAACATAATTGTCTGATCAAATGGAAGTTAAATAAAGACAGACTCACCTTTAAAACCTCCAATAATCTCTTTGTCTTCAATGGATGCATTGTACTGCACTTGATTCAACATACCATGGAAGCCCAAAACAGCTGCACATCAAAAAAAATAAATATTTAAATAATCAAATCCTATCACTGAGACAATCAACAATCATTAATTTTCATTTGAAAAAGAAAAAAAAAAAAGCCAATTTTAAAAACTCATAAAAAAAGATGGGATAATTCCTATTTGGTCACTTTCAGCATTAACATTACTGAATCAAGCAGGATGCCACAAATTTAAGCCCAAAATTATGTTTCGGCCATTGTATACTCTGGCCTTCTTCAGGATCTGTCTATATTTCTGAGACGTGATATTGTAACTATTTACACTATTTCCATTGATCAGACTGTTGTCCTCATCTTTATTGTCATAGTCACAATGTTTCGACCATCGTATGCTTTGGCCTTCTTCAGGTGATATACGTTAGAATTTCAAACCAAATCCTTTATTTAGTCTGTAGAGATAGATTGTTCTAATTCTATGTGCCATGCCTTTCCTGGACATCTTTGTTTTACTTACAGTGCAACCTCAGTTCCTGAACGTCTTATATGTTGAACAAATCGGTTTTCAAACAAAAAACTCAAGATGAAAATGTCTCGGTTACCAAACAAAATTTCAGTTCTCGAACAACATTGCCAAACCGAGTTAACCCAAACAGAATAATTTCTGAGAAAACCACCATGTTGTATATATTCGTGTGTTGCATTGTGCTTTTCATTTTTATTGTACTGTGACTTTTTCTATCCTATTGGAAAAATAATTTCGGTTTACGAACATTTCGGGTTACAAACGGCCTTCAGGAACAAATTAAATTTGTGAACCGAGGTCCCACTGTATCTCTATTTAGTAACTCAATTCTCCAAGTTTTTTGTTCACCTTCGATGATTCAGTATTTTTATCTGATTCTTTCATAAAATGATATTTTTTTTTTCAAGAAAAATTATCCTAATGTAAATTTTTTTTTTTTTTGCCATTTTGATTTTAAATGCAAAATTTCTTTTACTTTTCACTTCTACTTATTGTCTGGAATGAGATTTATAGACTCATATGAAAATTTTAGGAAGTAAATTCAATAATGACATTTTCAGATTTATTTTCATAATTGATAACAGTAATGATTTTAAACAAACAAAATACAGCTCAGCCCAATATCATTGTCATAGATTAAGATGAAAAGGAAAATTTTAGTCTTAGTTATCTAGCTATCAGTTTCAGTGAAAAAAATGAAAAAGTGGGGCTCAGAAGTAAACCTACCACACCCCACCCTCAGCACAAAGCAGGCACACATTTTTATTATCTGAAATGAGACCCAGAGATTTTTTCTGCATATAAAAAAACTTATATAAATGTCTTTGAAGCTAATTTTTCAGAAATGAAAATTAATGGCAGTAATTATTTTGAACAAATGATACAGCTCAAGCATTATCATAGAGGTGCAAAGAACAATTAATTTTCAGTTTCAGGAAAAAGTTGTGGAGGAAGGGGAGGGGGTTCAGGGAAGAATTAATTTCCAGTTTCAGCAAAACGTTGGGGAGGAGGTGTGGTTGAGGAAAGAATTAATTTTCAGTTTCAGCAAAAGCGTCGACATGGATGTAAATAGGAAATAAATCCATTACCAGCCAGGTCCACCAATTCTTCTTCTGTAGCTTTTGATAAAATATCATCCCACTCTGTTTGGATTTCTTCCTCGACAACACTTTCAATCTTTGGAGGCTCTTTGGGGACGTAAATCTTTCCTGGGAAACAAAGAAAATGCAAAATAGAATCAACTCTCAGTAGAAAAAAATAACACAAAAATTAAAGATTTCAAATGTCAGATTTCTTTACATCTCTTGAAATTGAATAATCTCTTGCGATTTCATATTGACTTGTACATATTTTAATAATAAAGATTTCATATTCAGATACATCTCTTGTACATATTGTTAATAACGATTTCATATTCAGATACATCTCTTGTACATATTGTTAATAACGATTTCATATTCAGATACATCTCTTGTACATATTGTTAATAACGATTTCATATTCAGATACATCTCTTGTACATATTGTTAATAACGATTTCATATTTGTACATTATTCTCTTGTACATATTGTTAATAATTTCATATTCACATATTGTTAATAACGATTTCATATTCAGATACATACATATTTTAATAACGATTTCATATTCAGATACATCTCTTGTACATATTGTTAATTGATTTTATTCAGATACATATATGATTTTATTCAGATACATACATATTGTTAATAACGATTTCATATTCAGATACATCTGTACATTGTTAATATTTTATTAACATTACATAGTTAATGATTTCATATTCAGATACCTTGATTTCATATTCAGATACATCTCTTGTACATATTGGTTACATATTGTTAATGATTTCATATTTACATCTCTTGTACATATTGTTAATTTTTCATATTCAGATACATCTCTTGTTCTTTCATATTTTTCTTGTTAGTGATTTATATTCAGAAATCTCTTGGACATATTCTACATCTCTTGTACATATTATTTAATAACGATTTTATTTTCTGCATATTGATAAATTCTCATTTACATTCAGATACATCTCTTGTACATATTGTTAATAACGATTTCATATTCAGATACCACATATTGTTAATAACGATTTCATATTCGATACATCTCTTCATATTGTTAATAACGATTTCATATTCAGATACATCTCTTGTCCTGTACAACAATAATCTTTGTACATTTACACATTCGGGTACATCTGTTGTATATATTATTAACATTACTAGTGATAATTAGCCTTGCATAGATTGGTTTGCTTGTTTTATATTATTTTTTGCCCTGTTCTTTTCTTTTTCTTGTTAGTGCTTATTGCAAACTTGGACAATTCTGTTACTTATTTCTGCATTTATTTGACTTTGCTGTAACTAATAACTCCTTCTTTATTTGCATTCAATATTACATTATCATTGCTGTTGAGATAAGGTACAAGTAATGGCGTTCTATGGTGTTTGGTTAAATCAGATACTTCAAATCCTCAGATGAGATCTGGGAGATGAGTGATTCTGGGTCGGAGGGAAAAGAGGTTTTTATATATTATCAAAAATACAGTTGGTTTCTTAGAAATTCATATTGTACTATTTAGACATGCATATGAATAGGTTTCAAAAATAAAACTGAATGAAATCTTATGCATTCCTAATTGAAGTACAGACATTATTTTACCTCAAAGAGAATCACCGCCACAAAGAAAAACACAGACAATAGAGTGTGGTAGAGTAATTGTTCATGGTTAATTAAATGTAATTGGCAGAAATGCACAAAAAAAAGAGAATTGACAATGTCTACAATAAACAATAACAAGAGAAAGAAAATAATAGGGCAAAAATAATACTAGGCAAACAATGCAAGGCAAAGCATTATTAATAAGGCAAAAGTTTGCAAACTAAGAATGGTATTAACACACAGAAGGGATACAGACAAACTATAGAAAGTGTTCTGACTTCAAGACAAGTAAGAACAGAACTAAATCAGATGAGACTAATAAGTGGCTTATGTTATTGGCTGGGAAGATATCCCAGCATGCATCTATAGGTTTTGCCTATAAATTTGGGGAGGAGAATGTTTTTGCTGTCATTCCCACTATCCTTGGAACCAAAAAGTGTCAACGCCAAATATATTAATAATTTCATCATTCAATTAAATCATCTACTTAAATCATCAATTTTAACCACATTTTAAATACAAACATTTTTTGTTATATAAAAAAATAACTTTTTAAATATACTTTTGATAAAAAATACTCCCAAAATGCAGGAACCTTTTTGCCATTAATAAGAAAGCTTGAAGAAAACTCCAACAGAGAAATTGTGTCCATTAGAATCAGAAATATTTGTGTTTGAAAAGTTCTTTATATGAAACAATGTAACATAATAATTTACAAGTGAAAAACCTTAGAGAAAAACAACACCCAGATTTTAAAAATTCCTACTCCCAAAACATTAAAAGACTTAGTCTGCTAAACAAAGCAATAAGCTTAAAACCTGAAAGATGAGTTTACTCCATCATTTGTAATAATTGTCACAAAAATTACATAGGAGAAAACCTCAAGGAAACTAAATAAAAGATTATATGTACGCAAAAAGGAACATTTTACAAAACAATACGTCAAATATATTGGTTGCCTACCATAACAAGACTGACCACAATATGGACATAAAGATGCTACTCTGATCAAAGGAGAGAACAATTCACTATGACATAAATGCCTAGAGAGGACTTGATTTGTGCCCAGGCTCTTCAACATTTCACCATTCCTGGTAGATCTTCTATTATTACAGTGTGGGATATCTAATATCAAAAGTGATGGAAAGAAAAAGACTAAATGAATTTGGCTAGATATATATATAAAAAAAAAATTTCTAAAAATCACTTAATTTAAAATTTCAAACTAAAAGATATGCCCTGAATCTGACAAAAAATTTAATTTTAAAATGATTTTTTCCATTTTGCTTAAGCCTGATTATAAAATAATAACTGCTTTAATAATTGAGACAGATAAAGTTTAACAAAAATCAATGGACCTAAAGATTTCTAATAGAAAATTGTATATTTTGTAATTCTATATAGAAATGATGTAATTAGCATGTATGGAAATCATTAAGAAATAATAGTTATCTTTTTGGAGTTTTTAGGACACAATCTTGTATGCCCAAAGAAAAGAGCTTTTTGCTATTTTGGACACCAATACAAGAAAGATCTCTCCAGCAAAACCTACTTCAAGAAAGATCTCTCTAGCAAAACCTGCTCCAAGAAAGATCTATACAGCAAAACCTGCTTCAAGAAAGAGCTTTTCAGCAAAACCTGCTTTAAGAAAGACTTCTTCAATAAAACCAGAACATGCAAAAGTATTTATTTTTTATAGACAAACTTTGTTATTTTTTTATATAATTAAAACCAAAATTAAAATTTTAAAGAAATATTTAAATTATTGCAATAAGTTAAAATTTAAAAATAAAGTGATAAAGATACCCACAAAAATAATCTGAATAAAATGTTGCCTTAAAAAATGAGTCAATCAAATTTGGCTGAGCCTAGAGAAAAAGAGAGAGAGAAAAATGCTGACAGATGATCACCTCTCTTCTCTCCTGTGTAAGGCTTTTGCTCTTCCCAGTCTTTCTCTTCTTTTGCTTTCTTCTCCAGAAAAGCAAGCAGCTTTTTTCTATTCAAAGGCCCAGTCGGAAGCTTGGTTGTTTGATCACGACATCTTTGTGAAGGCGGCAATAGAGAATTCTGAAAGACAAAAGAAATTCACATTCATTTTCAATGCATTGAAAATAATCAAAATAGCAAAGTAATCAAATTGATATCCGTTTTCATTTCTGAGACAAGGTATTGTAACTATTGGAATTAGAGCAATCTACACCTAATGACAAAATAAAGTTTTCGGTTTGAAATTCCAGTGTTTATCACCAGGAGGAGGTTGGTGCATACAGCAGAAGAAACATTGTGAATATGGCAAATAAAGATGAGAGCAAAAGTCCGAATTAGTGTAAAAAATCAAATTTATTTCCAGGAAGAAAGAAAAAAAACAATGGATTTTGAATTGTTTTTTTAATAAGATGACTATGACTTTCTTCAACATACAAAGTCTTTTGTCATAAGATAAAAAAATCTTCCCCTCCCCAACCATCTGGTCACATCAGTCAACAAAAGTTTGGAGGCACATTGACGACTTTGCAGGGAGTGAAATGTAGAGAAACAAGTTTCTTGCATTTACAAATGTCAAATTGAATGACATTTTCTTTTTTCTTTTTTTTCTTGTCACAGGAGGACAATGACCCTGTGGGGGTTTTAGCAAGGGAAGAATTTTTTTTCAGTGAGGTTCACCCTTTACAAGGCCGGGGGGCCACTCAAGGTAGAGGGTTAAGTTAGGAGGCAATTTGTGCAGATAGGAGTGGAAGATAATGGTTAACCCTAACCTTGAACAGGTTAAGACTGTAGTGATTGGGGAAACAACTTCATAGTTGGTATAGACTAAGCTAGATGAAACTCATTACCAACAGATTATGAGATTAGCTTATTGAATACTGATTGGTCTTGGCACACAATGAATTTATAACAAACATGGTTGTCCTTTTATGAAGTTTTAGGAATTAGCAACCAAGAATGATAATGGAATTATGAACAGCTGAGAAAAAAACATTTCTCTATGGCTACTCACAAAAAATAAAAATTGCTAAACATTTACAAAAAATGAAAGCAACTACCATGTTTGATGATATATGACTTTCTTATTGCCAAATTTTATATATAAAGTTGAAGTATATGGCAGTAATTGTCCCTAGCCAAACAACATAGACTATCAGTACTTGTCCCTAGCCTCAATCCATAATACTGGAATATTAAATGTAAATAAGGGAAGTCTTCTATGTGAAGTGGAGGTATTTGGTAGGATAATGTTTACCCAGATGCCATAGACTATCAGTACTTGTACTCAGCTTAACTCTATAATACTGGAATATTAAAGGTAAAAGAGATGTTGTCATGTCACTAAGAATGGTAAACCATAAACTTAGGTACCTCCACGAGATCGCTAAAAAAAGAGCATAGCATGATGAAAAAGACGCGTAAACTTGACGAAAAACAAAATTTTATCGTCTAAATGTTTGTTATTATTAAGAGGAAAGGTCAAAGTATTTTGGGGGTATTTTTTTTTCCATTTTTTAATCGTTCCTAGCACGTCCAAAATTTTCGTTAAAAATCTAGTTTTTTAGAGTCAGCAAAATTGACCATTTTTTCCATTTTAAAAAAATGGAAATCTGACTTTTGAAATTTTTTAAATATCAATTATCATTTTTCAAAACTTATTTTAAGAAAATCAGAAATTATAATGTTTATTTAAAATATTTTGAACCAAACTTTAACTTAGCTTTTTGTGCCAAAAAGATGTAATTTGAAAATAAAACAAAGCAGGTCATAAACTTTTCGCGTCTCTTGACATGTGATGAATGATATATTTACTGAATTCCATGAGGCTAATTTGTTCTACGGAAGGAGAAAAGTGAAATAATTTACATTTACATGAACAAATTATTTACCCCGTTATTTTTAACGAAAACTTTCAGCGGTCTAATTTTTTTTTTTTTTTTTTTTACGTTTTTTTTCACCTTTACGTTTATGATGCTTTATGGGAAATATATTGTAAAGAAATTAAAATAAAACTGTTAAGAGTGACATTAAATTTCATATTTCTTAAGAAAGGTATCTAATTAATTTATAGGTACCTTTTTTATGAAATTTTATCAGAATTGTACATAAAATACTATAATTTTATGTACATTTATTACATTCTACTGTTATTTGTATTTGCAATCATTTTATTATTAATTTTGATATTTCATTTATGGAAAAATGTCGTAACTGAGATTAATATAAAAATAAGATCATATAAATTTCATAAGATGATACTGATACTTGTAGGTACACTTCTTAGTTGAAATTGGAAAATCAAATTAACTTCTCCACACGTGTTTCGCAAAAGTAAAGGCCTTAACAGCGGAGAACAATGCTTAACTCAAACAACGCAACTTAATTATATTTTGGTTGGTCTTCCGTATTTTATAATTACAGCTCGATTATAAGCACAAAATTACATTTCTTAACTACTGGGTATCTTCTGATTAGTCAAAATGATACAATTTACAACGCGCTAAAAGAAGATCTATCTCATAAGGACACTTATGAAAGCCGATGCGGCTTTTAACTAATTTTATATTTTAACAACTTAAATGTAAAATCTATTATAATTAATGAAATAACAAATAATTGTATTAAAAATTCATTTTTCATTGAAAAAATTTTTTTGCTTTCAGAAAATATTGTCCATATTCATAAAAACAACTAAAAGCAAATAATATATTTGTTTTATTGAGTTTTGTATATTACAATTCAGAGCTGATTTTCAGGTACTGCGTATCCAATTAAAAACAAAAAAAAACATGATTTGCATTCCTCAAAGCCCTGTGCTTTTAATTATTGTAATCACTAAAACCGATGCGATCGAATTTCTAGCGTTTTCATAAAATTAGTTATGGGGGGGTAATAAATATTTAAAAAAAAATATTTCTACTATGACTTTCATAAAAAAAACATATTTATAATAATTTCGATCATCTGTGAATAGTTTCTGAAAGTTTCATTAACATCCGATAATTATTTCTATTTTTGCACGATTTTTCAAATTAATGTGTGTCATACCAAAAAAACGTGCTAAAAATTGTCTATGTTTTTTTACTAGTTCCGCTGATACAAATAGAAAAAAGGTTTTATTAATCAAAATTTAGAATGTTCTAAAAAGAAGGAAAATTTTTTAAAAATAATTAAAAAAAAACTTTGGTCTTTCCTCTTAATAATAACGTAAGCATTTAGACAATAAAATTTAGTTTTCGGCAAGTTTGGCGTCTTTTTCATCAAGCTATGCTCTTTTTTTAGCGATTTCGTGGAGGTACCTACATAAACTGATTTATTTTAAAACAAAAGAAAATCTTTTACAAAGAAATAGTCTGTTTTCGGCTTGGATTTTTATCTCCCAATGAGAGAGAAGCTAAGCTAATTCCTGCAGTTTATGTATTCCCAGTTATTTAAGCTTTTCAATTTCTTTGACCTTGATATTATTTGATATTATGGTTACAAGGAATTATTATTATCATTAATCCTTTTCAATTTCCACATTAAAGAACCTTGCACAACTAATTGGTATAACTACAGAATTTTTTATTGTAGAGTTCCTCAGTTTATTCTGTCATTATTCAGTGTTAACCTTTATCACCCTGCAATATTCATAAGTATTTCATCCATTGGTTATAAGTGGCAAGACAACTGCAAAAGCATCAGCTTCCATCATTTTCCTGTTGCCATAGTAGGATATGACAGCACTAGAGCAAAATTAAAACACACTATTGTCTGATGATCAGAGTTGTATGCAGTGGCTGTACAAACATTTTGTTTGACAAATAAAGCCACCTACATACAGAGTACTAAAAGTTAAGTACTAAATGTGTCTTAGCAAATTTATTTTATGTTTCAACTTTATAGCAAAGTGAAACTGGAAAATCAATATTGAGTTATAACAGAAATTTATTGAAATTTTTATTCTTATACAGGATTTTATTTTAAAAAAGAAATCATTGTAACATTTTTATTTAAAGATCTCAACTTTTCTTATCAAATTGTGCAACAGTTATTAAATTTTGAAAATTCAAGAAGACCTTCATTTATTGCACATAATTTTCAATTTAAAATGTCTGATATTAAAACATCAAAAACAATACTTAAAGGCATATTTATTAAAAGAAAGAAAAATCGCATGAATTTATATGAAAAGTTCAATGCTTACATCTGGATCGAAATCTCCATTGAGCTCTTCTACCTCCTCTGCTGTAAGTCCACTAAGGAGTTCATCTAATTTATTCCAGTCAAAATCTTCAGATTCCTCAACCTTCTTGGCAAGAGCTGCTGCTCCAAACATTGTGGGATTTGGTCTGCTGGTGGCTACCTGTACAAAAGAAAACAGTAATCTCAATAATAACAGAATGACCAAAGAAATATCTCTGATAAATAGCAAATGTGAAACAAATATAACAAAAACATTCATCTGTTCTCTAAGCACACAATACCTTCAGTACCAGTGTTTTGATTCCCCCGATGCATGTTGGGTAAGAAAAGAACAATGGGGATTTCCCAGAGATTAAATAGAATCACTTGTATCAATCATATCAGTGTGGAGTGGACAAAATGAAAACAAGGTGTCAATTTCAGAAAGAGGAATATTAACATCCTTTCACACTTAACAGGTAAAGAATAAAAAAACGTTAATTAACTTCATTTGGTTGCTACTGAACATCTTTAAAAAGCCAAGGTAAATTGATGTGTAAAAGAAAAAATATTTGGACTTAAGCAATTTCAAAATTAATAATCACTTTATAATAATTTTAACTTTTATGCCAACTCATTTTTGTAGGAGAACGTCAAAAAGGAAGAAATATGTGTTTAAGATTGGGAAGAAGGTGCTTGTCAATGAATCAGATATTCGACATTGTAGACAGAGAACCAATAAAATCCACTGATAATGTGTGGTGTTGCTGGAGTGCCTTAAGTTAATAATGATATTTAAGCTCTAAAACACTTTTGACCCCCAAGGTCATTATCTTATCAAAACTTTTGCTGGATTGATTGCTTAGTTGTTTTTTTTATGGCTTATCAACCCTTTGTTGGTTATTTTAAGCCAAACCTATTTTGGATCATAATTTTTTTTTTTTTTTTTGTTACAAGTGAATACTACATTAACAATTTTTTGAAAATCACAATGATTTTTCCAGATACAGGTCTTACATATATATTTTTTTGTGGGAGGTGAGAAAGTTTTGCAGGATGTGTTAGTATTTTAATACTAAATGACATTCCTTGACTGTCTAATCTGAAAAGTTAAGAAATATACAAAATGATTTTATGAAATTTTATACATAGACTTAAATATTTTATTAGAGATGAACTAATTTTATGATATTTTAAGCTTTAAAAACAACTCAGAAATGTGCCCCAAAATAAAATTAAAATCCTACCAAATGACTATTATAAAGACTTAGCACTGTACTCTACCAAAATAAATAATTGAAACATATTTTTCATTATCATTTCATTATCTGCCTTGTCATTATATTTTGTCGTCAAGTCTGCTTTTAACTCTTTAAAATTAATGACGATCTGAAAATCCACAATCGTTTCTCACGTGTCTAAATGCATCTCAGAATCTAGGAGTGTCATTCAATATTCCTCGTCTTCAGTTGTTGTTTTGGGTCCCTCACACTGACACCTCCTCAAGATCAACCTGACATACTTTTAATTTTAGCACAAAGCTTTGTTGTCAAGATACGGCAAAACTATTCCATTGAGATTTGGAGAAAAAGACAATCTTATATCACCTGAGGGCTGCATTCGCCTGAAGCAGTATCAGATGATCTATTTATCTAGGACACGTTTTAATTAATTATAACTTCAGTAACATATCTGATTAATTTAGATAAAATCAGCACTCATTAGAGATGTTGTTAGAAAGTTAAAAGTAGATTATATTTTTTTTTTCTTTTTTTACTGAACTTTGTTAGCTTCATTTTAAATTTTTTGTTTTTTTTAAAGATATTTTCACCTGAATAAGCAGATTCAATGTGGCTATATATTCAAAGCAAACATTTTGTGTCATTTCTAATGTCAGTTTTTCAAAAATAAAATTTCAGGAAAATCTAAAATTAAAACAAAAAGAAAAACACTTCTTACAACCATGCATTAATTTTTATCTCTGTCAAATATTATCAAAAGTTATAAGTAACTGTGTCAGAGATAAGTGGTCCCTCAAATAGGTTAGAGAACCTATCACCTGAGACATTTGAGTAAAAACAATAGAGATGAAGATACTAGTTCAAATAATGATAAGACACCATGTTAGAATTTCTATCATTTCCTTGAAACTTGGTCAACTGGCAAAGCATTTAGCATTTATGATTTTTGCATATTTTTCTGAATAACTTAAGGACAACAGAAGACACAGAATTTATTGCTGACTCAGATTTTTACAATGTGTAATTTGTTTGTAAATGGGGTTGGGGTAATTATTCTTTGGCCCAATCATAAATCATTTCGTGTATAAACAGCTACAATGATTTACTATCATGTAGTTTAATCAATTGCTTTCTTGACAAAGGCACCAATTTGAATTCACCTACTGGCTACTTTATTACAGGTTTGTTTTTAAAACCTTATAAGAAAAGATTGAAGTCATGATACTTGAAATAATAAAAATGATTGGTTTGGACTTGAAAATTTTCATCATCAATTTTGAAAATTTTAATTATATTAAATTTAAAATGTTAAAAAATGAAGTAGAAATGTTTAAAAAAAAATGAATAAAAAATGTGAAGCAAGATGAATTAAAAATGTTAAAAAAAAAATTACTGTATTTGATGGCATATAAGGCACATTTTTTTTTTTTTTTTTTTAATAAAAATATCTTTTAAAATTTCAATCTGAAGTTTTTCTTCATGATAAAATGCAAATATGTCTGAAGAGCATTATCAATACAGGCTAATGTATTTTGCATCTCCATTCATAATGTACTTATAAAATCTACAATATTTAAAAGATGTTGTTACTATTTGGGATGTTAGAGCATCGACTATGTAGAATGACTGATTTTTGTAATTTTTTCATTTATTCTCTATGGCGCAGTCAAATTCAATATTAAGAAAAAAGCGTTCTCAAAAAGACTATTTCCTAAAGCAGTGGTTCCCAAACTTTTTTTCCATTCTGAGCCATATTTTCGGAATTAAAATTTGATTTAGCCTCACCAAATTTTATCTAATAAAAAAGTACATTTAAAAATATTAAAAAAAAAAAAAAAAAAAAAAAAAAACAGAGAGAGGGTTAAAGGGAGATAACCATGGATTCAAAGTCAGAACATTATCATTGATAACTCTCTCCTCCAATTTGTGGACCCTAGTTACTATATTCTTAATACTTGATATAATGCAAAAATATCACAATGATAAAATTGGTCAATAATTATTTATAACTATTTATACTGGGACTTATGCATGCAATTACAAGTAATCCATAATAATATTTGAAATTTTGAAATCATATTTATTTTTGGCATTCATGAATTTTTGTAACTGTTTCTAAATCTTTGATTATCTTTCAATCATTCTACTTCACCTGCTATCCTCTTCTGGCGCACCTATGAAGGTACACCATATCATTTGGGAACCACTGTCCTAGAGACATTTCAAATTGTGTAGACTGTTTCATGAAGTAATTACTGTCTAATATCAAATCCCACCCCTACTTATTTGCAAACCCATTTTTGGAATTTAATATTTTACAAAAAAAAAAAAAATAAGATCTTCACAAACTGATATAAACAACTATTTTGGGTTCATGCCTTCATACAAACTAAGATAAGTAGTCTTGATCTGAAATGGTCAGATAGATTTTCTATGTTCAAGGCCCAATACTTTTGGATTTTGCCTTTAATTCTCCTCAGTGAGTAGAAAAAAATCTCATGAGCCAATGAAAAAAGAGAAAAGAAAATACTCTTTTGCCCTCAGTACAAGCCTCGACAGCTGATCTATAGCCATTATATATGCATGTATTTGATAACAACAGTAGAAATAAGTCTCGAAAGAGGACTTGCAAATATAGATTTAGTGGGAGAGCTGAACAAATGAAAAATGAAAAAAAGGTTTTGTTGTACAAAATCTGATCAGGCATAACTTCTAACCAAACATTCAGCCAAAGAACTACTAGAAATTTGAGCTAAGAATTATTTTTTTTTTCATGTTAGGTTTTATACTTGTAAAATACACATTATTCTTAAAAGCTAACAATAAATTGATGATGATGATCATAATAACAACAACAACTTGAAGTAGAAATCTCAAAAATGTGGCACATGAGGTTATCAATAATTCTAGCTGTAATTGAAGCCCTCGGATTGATTGGAAAAGGATCTGATAGATTTGCTGAAGGAATTCCTAGTAGCCCATGCCTTAAAGAAATACCAAAAATTGTACAGCTCACAAATTACTAAGAGCTTTATCTATGTAAAATGTGTGGGATCTTAGGTTTGGAATGGGTTAAAATGATCAGTGAAAAATGTCATGAAGCCCTTTTCTGAACTTAGAAGGAAATGTGTATACAACAAAAATCCAAGCAAACAATAACAAGAGCAAAGAATCCAAACTTTGTAAAAGACTTTTTCTAGGGGGAAAAGGTTTTGTGCATGAGGAACCAAAGGGTAATAGAGTAAGATCCCCAAACTGATAAAATATTAAAAGACGCCAGTGTTATGGAATAGATATTGCATTCTAAAAATAACGCTTGGAAGTAAGAACGTATGAATAAACATTTGTGATATTGCCTTGAATGAAATTGCTACAATGCCAACAATTTGGAATTTCTTTAATAAAGAAATATTTGTGTGTGTGTGTGTGTGTGTGTGTAGGAAAATATGACAAAAATGGCATGACAAATGTTTTCTGTTTAAAATAATACAGATTAAGGAATAAAACGTTTTTAATGAAGTTTAAAAAAATAAAAACTACAGAAGATTTTAAAATTTTGCTTAAAATATAAGTGATGAAAAAATTTAAATCTTACCAATATTATAGTTTTTAAATGGATCTTTGATCAGCATTAAGTAAGGTTTTTTTTTTTCTATTTGTTCTAACACACAAATATATGCAACAATGATAAAGAAAATTTGTATATAAAAATAAAAATAAAATAAAAATTTCTATCTCAATTCAAAATTTGCCAAGAGGAATTTTCTTTTGTGCTGACATGGTGTCAGCACTTTAGATATCCCATTCAGTAACATACCCTGCTTTTCTATTGCCAACTTTTCCTAGCACTATCTGTAAAACTTGCTTCCCAAGCCAAAACTGTGGGTATGTTTTTTAAATAATATCCCAGTTCACTGTAGGGCATTTTTTTTTTATTTCC